TTAATTGATTATTATTATTTTTCTCATTACTTCATTTTGTTAAACTTTTTATTATTGGAGGCGAAATGCCATATAATTATCCTAATGTTACCGTGGCCCTCTTTAACGACTGCGCGCATGCCGCGCTGAATGGCGAGAACTCGTCAGGTGTTTTCGACATGTCGACGAGTTGAGTAGTGCCTGCTGACGCCGTAAAAGCTTTACTACATACTTTATCAATAATTCCATAGGCACTTAAGGGAAATACAATTGCAGTCTCGTGTATTAGCCTTTATTTGAACCCCGGCACTTGAACGACGTGGATAGATACTCAATATTACATGGCAGTATATACCAAGTACTCTTAGCGCAACAAAGGCATTCCCTTCATCTTTATAAATATTTATAAATTTCAATGATCAAACCAGCCAATCAACGACGTAATTTGAAATGTTATAAAATTTATAACTATTTATAAAGATAAATAATAAAGATAAAGAATGCCTTTGTTGCGCCGAGAATTCTGCGGTCTATACGTCCACTCAACCTTATATCACAATTCCCGGTAACAGTTACTCGTACACTATTGAAACGCCCGGCGACAATCGCGCTCTGTCAAATATTGTTTTGCAATTATGTGTTTACTGTTTTTTAGATATTTTAGTTGCCCTCCTTGTTGGTGACCCTCTGTAATTAGTTACGGTGAAATCACTGAGATTATTTCATTGGGATTAGTTCTGGGTGTTGAACGATTAGAACAGCGGATTACCTATTTTGTTTCAAAATATTGTCGGTTACCAACAGACTTTGTTTACAGCACTGACATACATGTGTATTTACAAATAGAAATAAGGTAAATACGTCTAGGCTGTAAGACTTTGATAATACAATTTTGTTTTCATTGAATAGGTGATTTTCCGTTCAACTGCGAGATCTCGCGAGATGCATGAAAGACGCGCGTCGAACGTCTGTCGCAAAAATCAAACGATCAAGTTGATTTTGAACTCGCATTTCTTTATTTTGTAGCTCACATCGACCGGCCGATCTTCGACGGAGGAATATTGCTTCCGAATACCCTCACTTAATTGAAATTGTCTATCACAAATGTGTACAGCACATTATTAAGCATGGAAATGCCCCCCAAAATACTTTCGCGTTTGTCGAATCCCACGCGATGTTTGACGCCACTACGACGCTATGACCTTTGTTTGTCCTGTTTTTACGTTCGATTTCACGCACAACGCGTGATTCTCGCAGT